AGTTGCTTATTCAGAGTCTCTCCTGGACCAAACGCAAGCACTGCGAGTGTCTTGGTCAGACAGGATACATGGCTGAAACCATGTTTCCTCCACAACCAACATCTTCCCTTTAGTGATTTAGTGTTTTAAACTCCAGGCAGTATATGGATTTGGCTTTCTTCAACAAAATGTCAAACACTTGGGTAGAAGGAAACAGATAAAGTTCCCTTTTAGAGGTATATTATATCCCAAACCTAGCACTATCCACTTACCGCCAGCTTAAAATTTTCAGACGCTCACTGAACACTTCAGTGGACATGTCTCCAGTCACATCACACTGAAATCACCCAAAGCAGAGTTCCCCTTCTGCTTCAACCCCTGCTTTTGCTCCTGTATTTCTAGCTTCTGGGTTTTGGTACCACCCTACACCATTTATCACGTGAACAATTACAACCCCTTTCTCACAGATTTATCCTCTTTCAGTCCTATTTTTGTTTATTCATCCAACAGGCACTTGAAGACCATTACCTGTGTGCCAGACACAAGTACAAGGTACCGGGGACACGTCAGTGAGCAATCTCCTCCTTGGAACTTACATTTTGGTGGTAGATGGAAATGAAAACATAAGCAGATGAACAAGTAAGATACTTTGTGCTGTGAAGGAAATAAGAGAATTGCCTTAGGATAATATAGTAGGGAGGCTCTGGGAGGGCCTCTTTGAGGTGACATTTAAGCTGAAACCTAGAGTAAAGAAAAGAAGCTACATAGAGAAATGGGGTGGAAAAGCACTTCACACAGAGGGACGATGCTGTGCTATTCGTTCAAAACATGCTGTGCAGGCAGACACGGAAGGAGGAAAAACCTTGGCCTTTTTAAGGAATCAAAGACGACCACTGTGGCTGGCTAGAGTACAGCAGGAAGGGATGTGAGCAGAGCAAAGAGAAGGAAGAGAGCCATGCTTCTGCCAAAGCACACAAGGACTTCGAGGCCCGTCTTCCATGCGACAATCTGACAGATAACGGCACTGCCTCTCAAATTTCTTCCCCCCATTACTGGTGCAGTAACGTACAAATTTCTAGTGATAATATTCAGGGATCTTCTGCTCTGGATGCTGCTGGTGTTTCTAGCCTTGTACCCTAAAACAACCCAAATTCACATGCAATGTGTATGTTCTAGTTGTGCCTTTTTCACCTGTTTTGTTTCATGCTTTTTCCTCAATTGGAAAAGCTCCTCTCTGTGTGATGACCACTATTACATCCTCTCAGACTCATCAGAAGTTTTATAGGAAGAGTCAAGATATTGCTTTCTGTATTTTGTAGCCAACTTTATTGTAATCTTGGCTGCTTTACACTTCTCTCACCATCTTGGGGGCTCTGGAGGGTATCAGAGTCTGATCTTATGTGTGGTTGTAGTCATGGTGCCTGACACAGAGCTGGCACTCAATACATGTTGAAGGCAGGAAGACAGGCAGTTAGTTTTGTGTAAATGCACTAGAACAGAATACATGACATTCTTCTAATTCTATGTAGTTTAATACTTAGTTTATATTTTTAAAAATAAAATTACATTTCACAAACATTTGAATATATGACTTATATATGTGATACATTAGTTGTAAACAATGCCTAATCATCACAGATATTCCTAGCCAAAAAAACGCAACATGACATAAAAGAAACGAATTCTTGCTCTGCTACTTGTTACTTTTAAGACCTTACAGTATAGAGCCCAAAATTCCATTCTCTGAATGTGCAGTATATGCTGAGCCTGGTGGACCACAGAGAAGTGCTCACTTTACAAAGGAGGAATATAAGGTTGCTCTTTAAGAGTTGAACCAATTAAAGTCATATTACCCATCAGTGGGAGGTAACAGTGGGCTGAAATACCCAAAACTTATCGCAGGGTGACAAAGCTGTAATCTTAGCAAGATTGAAATATCATTGCCATTTAGAAAATTAGAATGCTTAAGGCTCTCCAGAAATCTTGTAGGTACTTCTATTCCTACCAAATGAACAATATGCTTTCCAAGAACCAAGTACTGCATTTTGTTTCTAAATCTGTTTAGGCTTGTCTCTTTGTATTATTGCCTTTATCTCTCTCATCCATCTCTTTGTTCATTCATTCGAAAAATATTTATTGTGCGCTTATGATGCATGTGCTGGGATAGAGTGATGGAAACAATATTGTAGTGAAGAAAATGGCATAAACAGATACATACTGCCAAGGAGAGACAAACGATTCGGAGAAAATGATAAACAGGTAAGAGTTTTTTTTTTTTAGTCATGAGAAAGGAATATTCTCCTAAGTGAATATACCAGCTTTCTGGTTTATACTGCAGCTTCTTGTGAGTTTGGAAAGTGCAAGTTAACGTCTCTGGTCTTCGTGCACTGACAAGGATGAATATATGACCAGAAGGCTGAAGAACAGCCTCCGAATTGTGGTCATTTCACCAGGGCTGATCTACTGTGAGACCCTGCGTGGCTGCCAGCTGGTCTCCCCCAGTCACATTTCACCGTGGCCCCTCTCACATTAAAATAAACCTTTTAGGCCAACATCAGCACAGGGAGTGCTTTCACCAGGATGACAACACAAGGCCAAGTGCATTCCATTCACGACCAGACAAGGATTCAGAGTGAAATGTAACTGACACAGCTTGGGCTCTTCATGACCTTCAGATGCCAGTGTCAGTCAATGATTCTAAAGGAAAACTAACCTCTGATTATAGTGCCATATTCATCTGGAATGCATTACTACATGAAGAAATGGAAGGGACATGATATTTTAGAATTTAGGAGCCAACTCTGTGGTGGATCAGAGAGGTGCCTGAGGAAGGAAAAAGAACTGAAATAGTGCCCACAAGGCCTAGAAGTCTGTGATACTATAATCAACATTGACAATTCTGAAATGAAAGTCCACTTCTGCTTGTTGTAAGCATGTTCTTGACTAGACTAGAATACTGGAGGAAGTTTCAATGAACTAATCTCTTACTCAATTCACAATAAACATTCAATTTAACAAGCCCAGAATGCCATGGGAAGAGAGTTTATGGTCCTGAGTTCGTAACTAGACTACCATGTGTCCGGAATGACTCTTATCCATGTGGCAACCTGACATACTGCAGCAGGACACAAACAGAATAAAGTCTAAGGTGACGTGGACATTGTGAAAACTCATATCCATGGTGTTACACATCATGGTGATGAAACCAAGCACACTTGGGTTTCACCAGGCACATGGACAGTCTTGTTGTTTCAGACAAGACTCTTCCACTGTTCCCAAAGAATCCCTAATTCCAATGACTGTCTCTAAAAAGTTAGTCCCTTACTAAAAGACTATAAACTCCCCTGCAGAGATTCGTTTTGTTTTTCCATTTTTTGTTTGCCCTAGCATCACAATCTTCTAATCTGACTTTATCAGAACCTCAATTTTTCCAGAAGATCTAACTTGAGATTCTTCTAAAGTCACTGAAGAATCCCATTCTAATTTCAATGACAGGCCTTTTTAGCCATCCTCCACCTCAAGCTCACATCAACTACTGCAACATTGTTTGAGGTTTAATATTCACACTATGTATTTAGTTCTACTATTGAACTTAAATATTAGACAGCTTATTTGAATGCTCTGTGGCTATCATTTAATTTAGGATATTTTTAGTTTTTTATGGAATTTTAAATGTTTGCAATACAGCAAAATTTTAACCCCCTGTCAAACTTCCTTTGAAAGGAAAAGTAGTACGTGAAAGTATCTTAAATGACTTGTAGGTCAGAACATATAAAGTCTTCTGCTGAGTAGCAGAGTAAAATAACTTTGAGCAACATGCACTGAAACATAAAAAGTAGTATAATTTCAGGGTGTTTTCACTCCTAAACCCATGATAAATTCTACTGAAACCATCTAAGAGATTGTATTACCACTCAGAAAATATTATAAGTGACATGACAAATGGAGATTTACATTTAACTGATTATTAAGAAAGGGGAGTATTGTTTTCATCCAAGACAGAGATTTCAAAAAGGTATGATAGCTTTTGGTCCACTTTTCTCAAGCCTAAGAAAAATATATGCATACGATTTCTTCTCTTTAAATGCCTTTTATCTAAAATTGAGCCAAAGATAATCAAGTAGATATAATATCATTTGAAAAAATAAAGAATAGAAACTATGACATAACCAAATGGTTGATGAAGGGAAGTGTTTCTCCATGGAAGTATTGTAGCTAAAGAAGAAGAAATGGTGGAATTAGTACGTCATTATTTTGCAAACTTCTAACAAGAGAATGAACCTAGCAACGGGCATTAGTGCCTACTAACATCATGGACAACCAGATATGATATACTTCTTGATAGAATATACAATAGCATCTATGAGGTATTCTGCCCCCACTCAGAGTAAGTCTCTAAATCAAACTAACAGTTTACAGGAACCAGGGGACAGAGAAACATGATAAATAAAAACATGGCAATACAACCACCAAAATCTAAAATGTGGGAAACTCCACAGGACAAGTGACCTGGCTTCAAGAAATAAATTACAAAGAGGGGGAAATGGAGGACAGAAACCTCTAGATTAAAAGAAACTTGAGAGACACATCAAAAGGGATGCATGAAATTTGTTTGGATCTTCATTCGAATTAACTGTAAATGAACAAATGAATTAATGAGTATATGGACAATCAGAGAAATTAGAACTACATATGTGATGATATTGAGAAATTATAGTTAACATTTTTAAAGGCATACTAGTGGCCCTGGAGTGTTGTCTGAAAAAGTATTCTTATCTTTTAGCAATAGTAATAATGGTTTTAACAAATGATTTATAAAATGTCTGAAGTTTGCTTCATAATAATCTAGTTGGTAGTAGGAGGGTGCTTTAGATGAACCAAGAGTGAGTTGATGGTTGCACAGCTGGGTATTAGGTACATGGAATTCATGACATTCTAATTTTGTATGTGTTTGAAATTTTGCACAATAAAATGTTTTTAAAAATTAAAAGGCTTTCAAAAAAGTGATAGAAAAGACTTACCCTGTTGGATATCCTTCATTTCTAAATGTAAACTAGATATCAAGATTCCCACAGTTTGAGATCGTTTTCCATCCAATAACTTGATGATCTGGAATTTAAAATAAATCAATAAACATAAGCTCAAACGAACATGTGATCTTTAAGAAAGCATACCAAAAGCATTAAGATTTTTTAGATACACTGATGAACTAAGTTGATGCTACATGCACTCTAAATAATACTTAATAAAAAGTAGCATCCATAATTATAGACATTTTACAAAATAAATACCACACAAAATTCCACCAGCCTAATACAAACACTAAAATCTTCATAATATTTTACTCTTTTTATTTGAATACATCTTAACTAAGTTGTAATGGCAATATGATGTACAATGTCATATCCAACTTTTTCATTTAGCATTGGAATAGTTTCATATTGCTACTGATGAAGTCACTTCATAGTCTCCAAACTTTTTAGTAATGCCATCTGCTGAGTCATTCAGAGGGGAAAACTGACTCTGATCTTGAGTCAACCATTTACCAGTGGTATGGCCTTCGTAAAGTGACAACCTCCAGTAATTGGACTTCTTCATCATGAAGTAGGGCTGACTGTATTTAGTTTCTACATTAATTTTAGAAACTAAATGACAATATATGCAAAGCACCTAATATAGTTCTTGACATATCTTATTTAAATAAAATTTCCCTGTTTAAGAGGTTGCTTCCTGTGTTATTATTAATATCAAAATATAATGCTTTGTACACAAAGCTTTAATTTTAAGTTAAAGTTTTTTATAATAATATATACATATATCAAAACTTGTACAATCTTTTTAGAAACTTCAAATACTTCACTTTCAATTATTTCAAACTTTATGACTATTCCATGGAGAGGTCTACATAGTTTTGTGTTTTTCTAAGCCTAGGAAATCAAATCAGCTCCTAATACCATATCACACAGTGGCCACTAGGGGAAAAAATTATCTTTTCTGTCACGTGGCAGGGCTGCAAAATTTGATAGGAAATACACATAAAACATAACCAAATCATATAAATGTTTTTAATGGACTTTGCTGGGTAAAAAACAAACTAAGCTAAATAGCTATGCTTCCTTTCCCCCCAGGCACTTAAAGACTTGTCAAAATATAGTGAAGACAAGACTAAACAGTAACAAACATATACGTTTATATCATTACTATACTAAGCTGAACTGCTTGCTGGTTGAATGATAAGGGATAACAAAAGTTTGTTCAATTAAGATTATCTAACAGTCTAATTGTCTAACTGTTTATCAATTGATCCTGAATCAATTATTGCCAGCCTTTTTTTCTTTCCCTGTTCAGAGTGACCACTTTCATATAACTATTAGACTTCAAATACAGTAAATATTAAGGTTTAATCAAGGTTTCAGGAAAATATGATTTTACAATCCAATGTGTTGAACCATTTCAGTATTTTCCTTAGAGAAAGATTCTTGGGAGATACAGAATATCAGGAGTTTTACAGAGAAATACAGAAGGTACTTCGTGTTTTTATTTATTTTTTATATGAAAGCAAAAGAGATTAAGCACAATCAAATATCTTCTTTAAAAATGCTATTTCTGGATTTTTCTTAGAGAACCCAAATTTAAAGTCAAGTGATTTTTAAAAGTCCAATAAAAAATTAAGAAAATCCAAATTAGTTTTATGTAAATATTCAGTCATGACAAAGCAAGTCCTAAGTAGTTTGTAGCTTAGTGATTTAAAAAAAAAATCACTGTGGTGAAAATGTTGTAAAGAGTCAAAAAGGCAAATGAAATCATCACCTAAACTAACTGGAGAGAAAATTTAAAAGAGGAAAGGCTTTGAGAATTGCCTAGATTTATTCTTAGGTGTCCAGTATATTGACTGATACAACCATGGCCAGGGCATACACACCGGTGTCAAGTAGACAAGCACAGTATCAAATTCATGACCAGATCACAACTGGCTTGCAAAAGTTTCTTCAAACAAACATGCTGAAAACTACCAGTAACATATTCTGCCTATAAGAAAGACAATGTGCAAATGCAAGTTTTTCTTTTAGCTAATTGAAAGAGAGAGAGAGGGAGACCACAAGAAAGTGAAAGAGTGACAGAGAGATACTAATTCTGTCTGTCCTTGGGTAAAGTCAAGCAAATCCATCCCCATCTCATTATTCAACCAGGTGGAACTGAGAGCCATTCTTGGAATTTCATATGGTGACTTGGTGTGGCAGGTGTCTGGTGAGTGTTACCTTTAGCTGGACTAATGCCTTAAGAGTTTTTTCTGAAATGTGGTACTGCCTCCTAAAAAGGGGTAGGCAGTGGTGAAGTTAAATCATTTGTATTCTCTTCTCTATCTGTACCAAATTCTCTACTTCTGACTAGACCTTCAGAAATATCCTTCTAAGTTTCCATGTGCCACTCTTTAATTGTGAAATAATACCAAGTTTCTCAAGACCAACTAAATGGTAGGACCACAACGGACACCGAATTATGTGTCCTAAATCCTTTTAGTTTCTTCCATTTTTTTCCTCTCATGGATTTGAAGGTTTAATACTAAGTTTTTATTATTATTGTGAAAAACCTGTTACATGAAATGCACCCTATTAACATATTTTTAAACGTACAGTATGGTATTGTTGACTGTGAGCACAATGTTGTACAACAGCTCTCTAGAACTTTTTGTCTTAACTAAAACTCTATACCCATGGAATAGCAACTTCTCAATATCCTCTCCCCCCAGCGCCTGGCAACCACCATTCTACTGTTTGTTCCTTTGAGTTTGACTACTATGGACACCTCATATAAGTGAAGTCATGCAGTATTTGTCCTTCTGTGACTGGATTATTTTAATGTAGCACAATGTCCTCAAGGTCAATTGATGTTGTCGCAGAAGACAGGATTTCCTTCTTTTTATGGTTGAATAATGTTCCATTTTACGTATATAGCACATTTTCCTTATTCATTCATCCATCAATGGGCATTTAGGTTATCTCCTCCTCTTGGCTACTGTGACTATTGCTGTAATGAACATGGAAGTGGAGACATTGCTTCAAGATCCTGATTTCAATTCTTTTGGATATATACCCAGAAGAGGGATTGGTGGATGATATGGTAGTTCTATTTTTAACTTTTTATGGAACCTCCATACAGTTTTCCATGGTGGCTACACCACTTTACATTTCTGACAGTGTACAAGGGTCCCTATTTCTCCATATCCTCACCAAAACTTGATATTGTCTGTTTTTTTGATAATGGCCTTTCTAACAGGTGTGAGGGGATATCTCATTGCGGTTTTGATTTGCATTTCCATAGTGACTAGTGATGTTGAGCATTTTTTCTTATACCTGTTAGCCATTTGTATATCTTCCATGGAGAAATATCTTTCTTTAGCCCATTTTAAATTTTTTAAAACAAATTTAGTTGTAAAAGTTCCTTATATATTAATATTTTGGATATTAACCCCTTATCAGATATATAGTTTACAAATATTTTCTCATATTCTATAGTTTTCCTTTTTACTCTGTTGTTTTCTTCGC